CGGGAAATTATTTTTCACGTGCGGTGCCGGTGATGATGCTTCTTACGTCCGTTTCAGAGAACCAGAGGACAAATATTTCAATCGATCGCTCAGGCATGGCACCGAAATGAGGCACCGAAATCTGCGTTCTGATTCGGTTCTTGTACATACCGGTTACATAGGTACCGGTGCCATATTGGTACCGGGTTTCGGTACCCAACCCTAGTTACAAGAGATGTTATTATGAATTTAGATGTGGCAAAAGGACTTTGTTAGGCACAAAATGCATAGACATCCCAGCAACCACTTCTGACCTAACTATACTCACAATATAGCGTGGTCTCATGGCTTATTGCTTTTACAAAAAGGTTACTATATAATAAAAAAATATTAAGAAAACTAATTTACATTAAAACTGTATTTAAAGCTAATTTTAGTGGCATCATTCTATTAGAAGATCTAGTCCCTGATGCTTAACTTAAGCTGAAGCTGAAAAATGTTTTTTGTATATGTTCTGTTGAGCATTATATAATTTTCTTAATTTTTTAATTATTTTGGCCTTTTTTATATTTTACGGCCTTATATATATTTTTAAATATTTTTATTAAAATAATATTTAAATTATTTTCTTATTTTATTTAAAATTTTTTTAGAGGACTGCCACATTTGAGAAGTTCTTGATGCCTTGATAGCACACACAAAGAATGCTGCATTTTGTTGTGAGGTTTTTAGTTGATGTCCAGATTTGGTCCAAAAGTGCAGACATCCACTCATCAAAAGTTGTCCCTTCTGTCCTTTCCTCCTCTCGTCCTCTCCTCGTCTTTCTCCCCCTGTGCAAGCGTGATAACGCAGCTGCCCTGTGCTCTCAGGTCATTAGCCATGTGCCTTCGTAGTTTCATTAACGAGGGAAGGGAGCTCATCATTGGCCTACCTCAAATGACGAGGGTAATTAGTTAAGTAATAATGTGGAGCCATAGTCATGGCTCTTAAATGCCCATTGATGACAGTCAGATCGGAAGCAAGGCTTTCCTTGCCTATTAGCAGCACACAGAGATTGCAGGCCTCATCACTGAAACCACACACTGACATAATTACACGCATGACACTCACACACACACTCTCTCTCTTTAGTGCCAGTGCCTAATGAAGGCATGTTGTATTTGGAGAAGTCCTGAGGACCTGAATACTGATTACGAGTATTGGTTTATGTGCTCATTTTTGGAAAAGAGGCAGCAGTGTTTGCATTGCAATGTCTGAAGTTTGTTAGCCCGCTCAAAGCGTGAAAATACAGCTTTCTTTTAGCGCTTCCGATGACAAATAAGGTCATTTGAGAGAATGGAGGTGTTATGTTTAACAGATATCTGGATTTCCTTTATCTTTAGGGGATGAAATTCAAGGATATTTTCTCTTGTAGTTAACATCAAGGTCAACATACTGTCATACAGTCACCTAGCTTGATGTGTTACATGCTGGGTGAATTAATTAATTTAGAAGAGCTCTGCCAGTTTTTCGAAGGTATACATTTTTATTTTGATCTTTGGCAATTAAAATGGGCCGTGAGATTATGCACATAACATATGTGTCTGGAAGATCTGTAGAGAGCTGATGTGTTAGAAAAGCTGGGATGGTGAAAAAGAAATAGACAAAATTAGGCCAAATACACACAAAATCTTGTCCCTTTTGCTCACATTCAAGGAGTTATTTATTTTCTTTCTATACTATGTGAGAAATGGTGAATAGTATAACCATACAGTGTTTTAGTGTTATCTATCTATATACTATTAAAGTATTTATTAATATTTTGCATTAACTTTTATTTTTATATTTCCAGTTTTCATTTTCATTTTAGTTTTAGTATGTTTGTTATGGTTTTGTCTTTTTTTGTTTTTGTTTTTGGATTTTATTTTTAAAATATTTCTGTTTAGCTTTAATTTAGTTTTGGTAATTTTAATAGTTAAGATTTTTGTAAGTTTTAAGTTTTTCATATAATTTCATCTTTATTTTCTTTGAGCTTATGAACCAGCACAGTTAGCGCACCGTGATCTCTAAATGACCGGCGATTGAAGAAGAAGGATTGAAAATTAGATGGTAAGCAAATAAAGTAGAGAAGTAGAAACAGAGCAAGTTCTGACGTTTTCGTAAAAGATTACAAAGACAAACACTTCAGTATTACTTCTTACTGTTAAAAACTATCTCTGTCAATAGAACAAAAAAAAAATCACAATTATGTACAGTACTCATCAAAAAATTGGAAACATTATGATTTTTGAATGTTTTTAATGAAATCTCTCATGCTCACCAAGGCTGCATTTGTTTGATCAAAATTACAGTAAAAACCGTAATACTGTGAAATATTATTACAATATGAAATAATTATTTTAAATTTGAATATAATTTTAAAATAAAATGTATTCCTGTGCAAAGCTGAATTTTCAGCAGCCATTACTCCAGTCTTCAGTTGTCGCATGATCCTTCAGAAATCATTCTGATATCATCCAGACGCCAGCTTGAAAACCCTTCTCTTAGATCATTCCTTTCCCTGACATTCATACACGTTCATGTGTTTTAAATCACATGCTTAAAACATGAAAGTGTGTCGAACTTCTGTCTTGTAGTGTGCATTTGCCATTAGCCAGTTGAACTGAAGCTCCAGAGAAGAGCAGGCAAGCATCTGCAATATAAATGGACAAATAGAGGTTGACTTGGTGAGGGCAGATTATCTACTATGCCCTACCAGAGCCCCTCATAGTACTCATAATAAATTCCAATAAGCCGTTCATGTGCATTTACCACTATACTTACCCTAGGCGCCGTGTGCACGATGGGGTGTGTACATATGCCAGTAATCAGTCTGTCAGACACTTCATACCCTCCTGGTCATCTGTGCTTTCATTGGGCTTAAATAAAGCCAGGCTGCATCTCGTAGGTGGTTGAGGCTTTGTTGACACATTGTGTGCACAACGCCGTGCACAATGTTAGGGTTGATATTTCTTACCGTGTCACTACCACAAACCCACGGATCCTTCATTTCGGAGCTGTACTTAATTTTGATGCCGGTGTTTGCAGTTGGTCTGTCACTCTTGACGCCCACTCTGTGTGTTCTGTCATGAACAGACTTTTAACCGTGCATTGTGGAGGAGGGCGAAATGTCAGTCAACACAGCAGGAAAATTATCAGTAGAAGGTGGCAGGGAGCTGGTTGGGTGTGCGGGTGGGTGATCAGGGGGAAGTGCCCTGGGTAGAAATGGTTCGATGATGAGGACCAGATTGGAGTGGCAAGACAGTAGGGGAATGATGAGGAAACAAAAAATAAAAACTTTTTTTTTTTTTTAAGAACTTATCCTTTTTTTGCCCGAAGTCTGCACGGCATGCCTTTGCAAACATCAAAAGCACTCTCTCAAAAAACTACAGCGACATTATTGCAGTACATTGCTGACTGAGATGCACAAACACTATAAAAACAACTTTTTTTTTTTTTTAAGAACTTATCCTTTTTTTGCCCGAAGTCTGCACGGCATGCCTTTGCAAACATCAAAAGCACTCTCTCAAAAAACTACAGCGACATTATTGCAGTACATTGCTGACTGAGATGCACAAACACTGTGATTTCACAGACTGAACAGAGTGTTTGTTTTAGTTCCTTTCATTTTTCTAACAAGTGATGTATTATCCTTATGAGAGCTCTGATAGTTTGTCTGCAAGGAGACACAAGCCAAATATGAACAACATTGTTCTTATATCCTGTGGGCAGGCCATTTGTAAAAGTCGGACAGTTCCTTGATGCTATAAGTAGTCTTATTAGTAGCTAAACCACTGAAACAACATCTTTTGTGCTCCATCCACAGGTAGAATGTAAGAAGGCCCAGCCAAAGGAAGTGATGTTTCCTCCAGGGACGCGGGGGAGAGCCAGAGGTCTGCCCTACACCATGGACGCCTTTATGCTGGGAATGGGCATGCTGAGTAAGTGTCATCTCAATTTCCTGCTTACAGTTATTCATACATTAACACTGTCAATCATTGCTGTAATCTGATCATTGACTGGGGTGCTTATTTAAAATCAGCATGAAACTGAATTCAGTAGGGCTGTGTATCACCAGCAAAGTCACAATACGATGCGTATCACGATACGAGACTGCACTGAATTTCACCTCAGAAGAATTTAGTAAAACAGCTGTTTATTAAACACTGCATACCATAGGGCCGTTGCTAACTATTGGCAGAACAGGCACTTGACCTCTGCATTATGAAGGGCCTCTATAACTGTACCACAGTACAATAGCCTATAGGTAATGGCATATGTTTCATGTTTACATTGCATCTTGTTTTTAAGCCCATAAATAATAATGTACTCGTTCTAATAAATTTATATTGTAATGTACTCATTCATATATAATAAAATCATCTTAACATTGCTGGTAGGTTATCATTGCACAAATCAACACACTCTCTACGTTTAAAAAAATAAAAATTGGAAGAGTTCTAAACCAATGCACTGTCTTCACTGTAGCTCACGCAGACACGTTTAGTCAGATCACTCTTTAGACAAACTTTTTAGCGCTGCCCCGCTATTTTATCAATAAAATAGCTTAATCACTGAAGAGCTACATTATCTTTCTCAACAAGGAGCTGGTAACATCATTGTATCTAAAGGAGTTAAAGCCACAGCTTCACTGTTAATAGAGAAACGCAGAAAAACGGTGGTAATTCATACATACACAGCCTCTCTCTCTCTCTCTCTCATATAAATGAACACTTGATAAATCACACTTTTCTGATAATAGAATATTGAAGTGGAGATCGCTAAACTGTAAGCTAACCGGTATTTTCAGAAAGCAAGCGCGTTTATCCACAGTGAGGACAGAGCGCGTACACATGGTTGCCAGGTTGAAAAGATAAGTAACACATAGGGCTGGACGATATGGCCAAAATTGATATCACGATATATTTCTTAATTTCGGTCGATACGATATAATTCCGATATCGATATGAACACTATTTATCTGAAATAGAAATCTTTTGTAACATTATAAATGCCTTTATCATCACTTTTGATCAATTTTAAGCATCCTTGCTAAATAAAAGTATAATTTCTATAATTTCTTTCCC